TTTTTTGTAATACAGATATTGTAATACTGTATTTATTATTAAATTCTACATTAAATTACCTTCAATTTGATATATAAACGTTTGTATTTAAGTGAAAATTAATATACTCTACAAGCACACAAAGTTGAAAAACATGAAACTTTCAAAAAGTGTCCACACTTTTGGCCACCACTGTATATATATATATGTATATATATATATCCTGTACTCTGTATCCTGAACTTAGTTGATCTTAGTGTTGACCTAAATTATCTTCACTGTTAGATTATCGATAAGAACTCTGTTAGCCGTAGAGAATAGGCTACGTTTCTTAGTGAATTTCCTCTCAATTCAAGAATAGTTTCCAACACTAAAACTTGCTTCTGTCTTCTATGCATGACTAGGAAATATAGAAACCCTCTATTTAACTAATTTGTGATTCCCATGACAAAAAGTTTGTAACGGTAATAAATATAAATAGTATATTATAGACCAGAACAAAGAAAAACAAATCCTATTTGACATATAAATCTTTCATTAGAATAGTTTTCCCTATACTTGAGGTCCCTATACATTTAGTACTTGAAGAAACAAAAGCTTAAGATATATTTTAGTTAGAAATTTTAGCTATAAAGAAATTAATATGCTTATATTTTTGATTAAAAAAAATAAAATCAATATTTATAAATATATCCATAAAAATCACCTATTCAGGGTGTTTAATAATCACCGTTCTTTATATACAGGTCTTACAAGTTCTCATTCAGTTTGAGTTGAAACGTACGATTGAAATAAAAATTCAAATCTCTAATAATTTATTACATAGAATTTTATGAACCATTAGAAATTTTTACAAATGAATGCAAAGGTTTGAAAATGTCAGAAATGCACAGAATATTTCTTGTCTTAATAATTGATTAAATTGGTAGATTTAAACCTGCGTATGAGTTTGTCTTTACCGCGGGCGAGCTTTTTGTTCTCTAACAATCGTGTGACCCTCAAGAGGATCGATTATGGTCGGTATCGATTTATGACATGATTTGAATGAATATCGGCCTTTCGATTTTAAGAGGTTTGTTGAAATATAGTTTGGGAAGTTTTATTGAAAAGGGGAAAATTTTCAAATGATTTTTATCTGTAAAGGAGTTGAAATTTATGCTGAAATCTTTACTGAAAAAAAAGTATAGTAAAAACAACCAAAATATGAACCGTGTTTCTGCCTTTATAGGAACAGTGAAAAACTCGATAGTTTTTACCGCAGAACTTTGATAATGATTTTAGTAAAACTAACAATAAAATATTATTCATAATATGATAAATTTAGTAAATGTAGTAAAATCTAGTGATTTAATCAAGATATCTGCTTTCGTGGCATAAAAACCATTTCTTTCTTAAAGTTTTTCTTTTCAGTAGTGTATTTTTACTAAATGTGTGGTATTGAGAACTATAATTTTGAAAACCAGATTTTTCGTTTCATCACTACCATATTAACGTAAAATTATATGATTTAAATACCATATATTTTGGTTTTATTAACCAGAATTATGTTGTTTGTTTACTTTAAATATCATTATCATGCAGCACAATTATTTTACCAGAAATATTTTCTACTTGTTTAAAATAGAGATGTTAGGGAAAGTTTTTTTTTTCAACTTTAAAATAATATAGAGAGTATTATATTATTCTTATCAATATAGTTATACTTCGCGTACTGCAAACATTGTGTAACATGATCCGTAGATTATCAGGCCGATTTTCAGCCTCAAACTCTCAAAATTTTAACTTAGCGTTTTTTTGTGTGTGTGTATGGGTATAAGTTATCGGTAACTGAATAATATAAATTGCACAAACTTGAACCGATTTTGGAGTTTCGTAGCGTAAAGTAGTAAGTACGGGGAGAAATTTCTATGGATGAACGTTCTTGCGTTAATAATTAAAAAAAAAGTGAAAGCTTGTAAAAAAATAATAATTTGGATTAGAAATATACTAACACACTTACAATAATTTAGAACATGATGTCGTTTCTTTTACTGTATATGAAATCCTAGCTACGCTTTGAACTGTTTTGTTTATTGCTGTATGAAAACTTATAGAACACACTGAATAAGTTTTTTCAATCCTTGACAGAATTATAGCCCACATTTTTGGGAGTAAATTAACATGTAAACAAAAAAAACCGCTTTTGAAATTTGACAAATTACAGATGGGGATGAAGATATAAACTTCAAAATTAGTTTTTTTGTCTGATAAAACTTGAAGGCTATCAAATGATAACCTCTTCCACAACTCCTCACTTTCCTAAACCTTAATATCTTCGATTTCGTCTTCTTCACTAGTGATTACTGAGATTTCAATAGCGTTTTCCTGGGAAAAAGCTATACTTGAAATTACGAAATTTAAAAAAAAATTAATTAAAATGTTTTCAAAAGTAAGAAAATGTAAAGGATTTAATTATTGTTTCAAATATTTTTAACATTCGATTTAAGTATTTTTAACGTTTTCCTTCACTTATTTTCAGCATTTTGTTTAATTATTAGTAATCATTGTTTAACGTTTAGATTCCAGTTGTGGCAGATTTACCTGTGGGAGAAAATTTACAAGACCACTGCACAGCTTTTAGTGGATTTGAACTGAATCAAAAATTTCGTTGCATCTCCGAAAAACTAGCTAGCAACCGTAGTATACTCCAATATGTAAAACACAGGTCAGGTAATAAAGCTCCACTATCAATTTTGTTTATTTTTTATTGTGATATGTGCTTACGTTGTGGTCTTTTTCAACTATTTTCAGAATATAAAAAAATTGGTTCAATGAAACAGTTACCCTAAACTGAACTTAAAAAGAAATACAATGACAATTAATTACAAAAGAGAGTAAATGTTACCCATTGTAAAAATGTTTTTCTTTTTTTTCTGGATAGAATTTCATAAATGCTGCAACATTTTAAGTCATGGGTTTCGAAAACTGTATCAACTGTTGCTTGTCTTCGTGTTGTTATTGTCGGCGGATTGTGTACACTATCTCTCAAGTTTCGTTAGATAAAAATAAGATAATGAAAGAATTTTATGAAAATCTTCAGATGACAAACTTTTTTATAAGTTAAAAAAAGACACTGTAAAAATCATTTAAGTAATAATTCAAGAACTTTGGGTCATCAAAAATTCTTATACAAAAATTATTGAAATTGGGTATTTTAGTAAACTTGGTTTTATTTACAGTTCTTTATTAACTTTATAAACAGCAATAAGTTGATTATTAATAAGAAAAAAAAGTATGGAAACAATCAGATGCAAAACTTACTAATTGCAGAGACGAATTTTGGAAAATGAATGAAGTATGACAACAGAACGCATTTCAAATGCTTACTAACATCTAATTTTATAAAACTGAATTTATAAGATGTGACTGGTTCTAATGCCACTTGCCACACTGGCAAGCCTGCTTGGTGAAACGAGCAAATTTAAGGCAGAGTATGCGATTCTTTGTTTTTCAGTGGCGCCATCTATGGCCAAGATATCGACTTCTGCCACATCATACGTCACATCTGTTTATAAGGCGGACTCATTCATACATCCATTCATTCATCCACAGATCGTAATTTCGACCTGAATCAGAGAACGATCGATCTCCAATACAGTACCCCCAGAGGTTTGATTTGTTATTGGAACATGGAAGGCTTTGCGACTCGACAAAATTTTAACGTGCATCAGTCACCACACGGGGAGTCTTCGGCCGGCGGGGTTCGAACCCACGAACTCTCGAACATAGGCCCAGGGGCCCTACCAACCAGGCTATCCCGGCCCATGATAAGATCTTAATTAATGAAGGGATGTTTGAACTAGAACAAAATAGTGTAATGTATTTAGCTATAAACGCACAAAATATAGTGAAAGTCGGTAGGGGAGAAGGGGGTACAGTGGGTCAGGAGGTACAGTGGGTCAGTGAAGATATTTTTGCTTCAGTAAATTGTTTTCAGATGAAAAAATTTTATAAAATAGACACGAAACAACTCTACTCTGTGGAAAAAGGTAAACAGCTCAATTTGATTGTGGAGGGAAGAAAGAGCCATTTTATTTTCTGATCCTCTGCAGGAAATTTGAAGTAAGTAAGACTTTTTGTTATTACACTTTAAATTTGTCAATTAAATATGAGTTATGTGGTATGTTTATATAGTCTAACTGATCTCATTTTGTATGATATTTTATTTAAATGAATATTTTAAAGAGCAAGGGTTTGAGGTGAAATATACTAAAATGGTACATGTGGGGCACACTGGGTCACTTGAAATGGGGTACAGTGGGTCGGTGACCCACTGTACCCCCATTTATATATTCATTGTCCTTCTTTTAATCTTTTACACTTTAATGTTTAAATTACCTTAATTTAATTTGTCTACCAGTTTATTAAATAAAAGAGTTTATATATACATTGGTGATACATTTATTAAAATAACTATTAAAATTCATTTTGTTGACGCTAGTCTGTGGAAATGCAAAAACCTATTAGCTATTTTAAGTATAGTCAACTAAATTAGTATAAATATTTACACTTAAGTAAGAAATAAACCAGGGAATTGTTATTTACCCTGTTTCCAGATCACAATGGTAAGAAACAGAGAACGGAAAACCAACATTGGCATGGTAAACTCCGAAACAATGCGTGAAGCAGTAAAAGCTGTTCTAAAAGACAAGATGCCCATACGTGAAGCTGCTCGAGAATACAATGTCTCCAATACAACTTTACAACGGTATGTGCTGAAAAG